CATGACCTGGACAGAGAAATGCTGTTAACATCATATTCCATTTTCTATGTATGTAATCAATGAGAAGCTTAATCTCTCACCTAGTCTACCAAAATCCCCTTCTCCCCAAGTATAAAGCTCTCCATCACTAGTCACAGCAGCACTGTGCCTGTAACCAGCAGACACGCAGACCACCACCTGGTATACATGAAAATAAATTGCAGTCATCTTTAATCTTTGTACATTTAAAAATTATATAAATAAAAGATGTCTACCTTGCCAACCAGCGGCCCTTGAATAATTTTTGGATATTTCTGTGTTGCACTGTTTCCATGACCTAGTTTTCCGTACTCTCCATCACCCCAGCTGAAGACCTGAAAGAGGAAAAAAGTAAATATTCATGTTATATATTTAAACTTACTTCAGTACCTAATACTACATACCTCTCCTTCTACAGTAATGGCTAAGGTGTGGCCATCAGAGCCCTTAGAAGAGGATACTTTCTTCATGTTTCTGTGGGGTTCCAACACAAGTTTCTTGGGAATAGACTGGTTGTTGGAGTCTCCCAGTCCCAATCGTCCATAGCTTCCTTTACCACATGCTTTCACTGATCCATCTTCTGACACTGAAAAGGTGCAGTACTGTCCAGCTTCAATCTGCACATGATTTAATATTTGGTTACAATGATAAATACTAAAGTGTTGATGTTATCACTCCTACTAAAAGCCCTACCATTTGCGCATCACTGAAGCCCTGTGTAAGTTTAGGTAGAAGGATTTTCTCAAGAGTCCCTTCTGCAAGCTGATGGCTGCTGTTACTGCCCCACACATAGACCATAACAGTGTCACTGTCTGTGCTCTGCATTGCATCGCTATTACAAGAGCACAGGCAGTAGGATGCCAGATTACAAACCTGTTTAAGAAAAGAAATGAGCCTTCACTCGTTTTTGGACCCATACAATCAGTTAATTGTGTGATTCTCACCTCCTCAAAGAGACAGAGAGCTGCCTGGGAAAGCTGACAATATCCTTCTAGATCCTTCTTTAGCACTTGAAGATTGACACAGTCACCCCGTACACCCTTTGGAGATGCAAGTTGTATTTAGAATACAATTGTTCATAGTTCATTACAAAAGCCTTTTTTAAAAATACAAATAGCAATGCTTCATTTAGTAGGAATGTCCTTAGGGATTATTTAATTTAGTGAATTTATACCTGTGATAATTCAGGTCACAAAATAATAGTACGATCTCAAAAACAATAACTGTGATAATTTTAGAATTAAATTTAAGTCTTTTCAATTCAATCTATATTCCAATAAAGAAAAGTTAAATTTAAAATTGTTTTTATTTCAAGTTTATGTTATTAACTTTATTTTTCATAAAGTTTAATTTAATAAAGCTGGCCACTAGAGGATAGCGATCTATAAACGCAATGTGAATAAAAGTGAATTTGTGACATCCCTACGTATCAGTAAATGCTAATGTATTTGAAAGTGATTAATATTACGATTAGAATTAGACATACAGAAAAGTGCCTCATCTGAAGAAGAGTTTGATGGATGACATCAAATCCCACACTGACAGACTGCTGGGAGTCACAAGCAAAGCAGGACTGTGAAGCAGCCAGTGCCACCTCCACCCACTCCAGCAGGTATCTGAGAGAGCCTCTCTGCATGGCCAGGCCCAGCAGCAACTCCAGGGAGAGCCTCCGGCCCGTTACGTCCGCACCACCTGCTCCACTACTAACAGACGTCTTCTTCAGGAAGTCACCAACCTGTGCAAGGCAGTCCAATCCCACAGTGGGGATCTTGTTCTCATTGGCCAGAGACAAGGGGGGCAGTGAGGCCAGCACAGAGGAGGCTGTAGAGAGCACATCATTGCACAGTACTGACTCTGGGTGCACAGAGGCAGCAAACCTCCAGTTCTGCTGCAACAATGAGAACAGTAGACTCAAACCTGTCCGCACACCCATCTCTATCAAAACATCTGTGCCAGATTTCACTTTACACATCCCGCTGGGGAGGAATGGCTCAGAGGCCAGTTCCACCTGTCCATTTTGAGGCCCATTATCTGTAGCCTGGGCATGCAGCTGTGTCCGAAATTTGTCGTGATATTTACTGTGCAGTGCGTAGAAGATCCGTTGTAGAACTACAAGCCTGTGCTGAAGACCAAAGTTGTAGGAGGTTTGTGTCAGCATACGGTGTGCCAGCCATCGCTGGCTATGAAGTAGAGATGACAAATACTCTTCTTTCTCCACTGAGGCACAAGACTCACATTCAAAGTCTGGCAGTCGTGGTCCAATAAGCTCCTGGACAGGTGGGGCAAGTGTTACCACTTCCTTATTGTGAAGTAGTTTATTGTAAAGTGCAGATGCTCCATTTCGAGTGGCTGTCTGTGTACTGTCCTCAGTGGCCCAGGAACTGTTGAAATGCTCCTGCCACTTCAGCAACAAAGGGTTCTGGCCCGGCATCATGACTGGACATTATAAAAATGTGCAATTTGAACCTAGAAAGTGAGAAAATATATCACAACTTTTGGAAACAAACAACATTTACTGCTACCCACTTTATTAATATATTATTAGTACTTGATAAATATAACTGCCTGAGAAATGTCCCTAGTTGCTTTGCTCAGTGCCAGCTAAGTTCCTCCTGCATATTTCACCAGTAAATGAGTGCTACCTAACATCTGTGAAGCACATAAATATATTAAGCTTATATGTATGATATGTTTCTGAACATAAAACAACTAATTGCACTAGGATTCACTCTGTATACAGTAGTTTAAGAGTCATATCTTCACAGAATGCAGTTGTTATGGTCAAGTCTGGGCAAGGGTCAAACCTGACGCCTTGACATATGATACAGTTGCATGCAGAGGCCAATGGGGGCCACAGTGTGTTTGACTGCTCCACTTATTTACACTATAAATGTTCCAATTCCTTTCTTCATAATAATCCACCAAATGATATTAAACTTTAAAGACTGTGGACAATGTAGTTTAATGCCATACAGTGGAAAGTTCTAAGCAAAGCAACCATGGAGCCATGGAGGGACAACCAGGTACTGGCCAGTGTCTGTCAGATGCCATGACTATGCCTGAAATGTTCCACAGTATGACTTTAAATAGTTTTACATTACATTTTTTTTCTATTACAAGGGGTTTTATAGCTCAACAAAGAAGAAGGGAAAAAAAAAAACCAAAAAAAAACGTTATTGTGACTGGGCAGGGTTGCCTCTCCACAGATGTGGCCTGTAACTTGGTCTGGATGGTCTCCATGAAGATAGAAAGGTACCATACTGTGAAACATTCCAGACAAACCAATAACATGCCCATGGAGAAAAGCATTTGACAGAACCTCCACCAGAAGAGTTACACAATGCACCTTTACCTATAAGTACTATTAAAGAATGTTTCAATTTAACAATTCACAATAAAAAAGGACCTTAAATCTAAATTTACGGGATACATGTGGGAGACAGAGTTGCACACCTTCTTGTTGGCCTGGGGGCTGTGGAGGCTATATGGTTTCCAGTCTGTCCAAAAATAACACTACACATTGATATAGTAAAGAGCTTAGTCTGACATGACATGTTTAAGGTGCTGCAAGCAGCGCTCTTCAAAACAGACAAAATTATTATAAATAAAATAATGTCAAGGAAATTGGAATAAAAAATTGCCGGCCCACAGGATGACTTCCCTATCTTTTCCACAATCAGGATAGGATGTTTTATGTTCCAGCTGTTGTCATGGTGTTCTCAGCACTCATCACAGTATTGCACCACTGCACCAGAACTGGGCTATGAAAGACAGCTCCATCCCGGGCATATGACGTTTGCAAGATTGATAATTTAATATAGGCCTTGGTAAAGGAGTGCTTGGGAAATGGCACTTAGACAAGATTTAATCTACAGGCTGTAACACATTTCACGTTTGCTCTATCATTCACAAGAATATCAAAAACCGTTTAGTAGCATTAACTATGAATGAAAGCTGCAATGACACATCCTCCCCCGCTTTCTCCAGCCTTTCTCAGTGCATCTCTCTTGTTGTAAGCGCTTTTATGACTAGGCTATGTTGTATCATTCAGTCCTCAGCCTTCTATTTTTGTTATTTCGTGCTACATTAACGCCAGCGCCTAAATAAATCAATTGTACGGGCTGTCTTTAGAGTGACATTCGCAAACACCGGTAAGCTATCATTATTGTGCATATGCGATGACAGCTGAGCTAACACTGGCTGCAATGCAGAGCTAGTAGTACGCTTATGGCTGTCAAAGACGACCAGATCCCTCGCGTTCAGTTTATGAAACACGAAACAGACCGTTGCTAGATCCATTCAAAGGTGTAACATCTTGTGTATCAATAGAGCTGTGAGGGACGTGTGAGTTACCTTGCCAGTAAAGTCCAGCGGGATGTTTTGCGCTACCTGCGCTGTCCCAGTGAGGTCTCCCTTGGACCATTCCAACCTTCTCCAGTGTCAGCTGCGCTTATTCAGCGGACAGCGGGGTGGGCTCAGGGCATCGCTGATATGGTGATATTACATTACTGCCACCATGTGTCCAGGAAGGCGAAGTGTCATTTGCAGCATCATGACCACAATGCTCTAGAGACCCGCTGCTTAATTGAAAATTGGGCCCTACTTTTCACAGTGTAAGGACCCAAGTGAATCACACCCAGGGTAATCCATGGTGCTTCTCACAGCATACATGTTTTGTGATGCCAGAGCAGTAAATTCTATTGCGTTGTTTCCTGTTTGTTTGCATCCGTTCCTAGGAAGTTGTGGTCCACACTATAAACCTGGATTCTCAGCCTAGTCACGGAGTTTGGGGGTTCCGTTACTTAAAAACAAACCAAAGAAAACTTGTGACATCAGGTCACACAACTTCAATTCCTGGATGGAGTTAATCCCACTTCCAAGCCGGATTTCTAAAAAAGGGACTGACTGGCAGAAACACGACAACACCGGATTGAGGAAATTGACAAGGGCAAGCCATGCTCAAAACAAAGTTGTTAGATGCTGATAACCATAGGCTAACCTGATGCGCTACAGATCACTTCACTCAAGTCTTCCAGAGGCATTCAGCACCATCCCAAAGACAGCAGCCCTCTCAGTCTCCAGTCGCTCATCTAGCATGTCTTTTCTGCTTATCACGGTCTTATCTTCACTTGTGGTAGGGGATGCTGAAGCGTGGGGCGTCAGTGTAAAGTACGCGGTAAACTGTCCGGACAGATGCAACCCAGCCGCGTGCGGGACGCAACGCTGCGCACGGACCGTCCTGGATGACTGCGGATGTTGCCAAGTCTGTGCTGCCGGCAGAGGCGAGCACTGCTACCGCACAGTGTCTGGGATGCACGGGGTGAAGTGTGGACCTGGCTTATTCTGCGAGTTCTACAAGGATGAAGATGATTATGGAGATGAATATGGAGTCTGCAAAGGTGCGTGCATAAGCAGTGCTGATTTACGTAGCTGCTCTGGTGGGCTGCATTTAGTCTCTTCTTGCTATTTTTTATTCTGCCTTGAAATATTGTAGGCTAAACAGTTTTTTTCAGTGGTCGAGAAATCACCTGTCAAGTGAAAAAAACAAAGGCTGATTCCATAAATGGTGCACCGATTTTCTGATATCTTAGTCTACCTGCAATGGCAGAAGGACATGATACCTGTCCTAATGTTGTTTCTTCTTTTACAGACTGTCTCTTTGGAACTTATGGGGTTGAATGCCGCAAAACATGTAACTGCAAAGGGGGGATCTGTGACCGAGAGACAGGAGCATGTCTAACTCTCCGCTTTTTTGGCAAACTTACTAGCAAACTCAAACCTGAAATACAAGCAGGTAAATTTTGAAATCTGCAAATTAAAAGTATCCTATTTTTTCTGTCAATCTTAGATAGTCTACCTAAATAAAAAAATACTTTGTTATTTAAAAATGTATAATTTACTTCACATTTATTTAAATAGACATTAGGAATTATTATGCATAATAAACAATCTAATCTTGTTTGAAGCAGAGGCTGGATCTGGTGAATTGAGCACTCAACAGAACACAGTGCAACACTCAGTCAAAGCTCCCAAGTGGCTCAACCCTCGCTGACCAGCAATGAGCCGACTGGAGTCACCTGTGTAAATGTAGCATTAACTTATGAATCATATGATCTGAATATGTATTTTATTCACTTTAAACAATATTGGCCTCCACTATAACTGCATTTTGTAATAGGCCTATGTAAACATAAAAGGAAACAAGAAGCAATGTACAGCACAAACTCATCTAAATATAAATTCTGTGAATGTTATTAAAACGCACCCTTTAATAAAACATTGTCGTCGTTAATGGTTTGTGTATTGATTTTGCACAGGTTAATTTAAATGCTGAACATGGAACTGCCTTAAGTGTCCTATAGTGCCCTATATTCACTTAATAGCAACTAAATATTGTGTTCCTCTGTTCATTGAGAGGATTTAAATTCTTATGCAAATGCACTATAATCATTATTCAACAGTCAGGACATAATGCAATTCCATTGCTTTTTAATGTGTTCTTAAATAAAGATAAAATAAAAAGCCTGTATAGACAGGATTTGAAATTGTGGTCTGCATACCTATCATTTTAATGAGCACTAATACAACACTTAATCTATTTGTCAATTTGTTCTTCACTTCATTTTGTTCACAGGTTGCATTCATAGAATTTAATATAATCGCATGTTTATACGGTATATATATATATATATATAGAGAGAGAGAGAGAGAGAGAGAGAGAGAGAGAGAGAGAGAGAGAGAGAGAGAGAGAGAGAGAGAGAGAGAGAGAGAGAGAGAGAGAGAGAGAGAGAGAGAGAGAGAGAGAGAGAGATGCCTTTTGCTGACAGCTGACGACAATTGCCCCTGTGAGTGAATAATTCCACAAATTTAATGTTATTTGCAATTTGTCTATTAGAAATTAAAGAAAGAAAATTATACAAAGAAATCTTTGGCTGGGCCCCAAATGAACCCATATTCACTAATATTGTGGCTCATAGTTGATAGTTGTTCAGTATTCAATATGGCTGTTCTGATCTATGGTGGATCTGAAATACCCTGTACAGAGTAGCAGGCATACTTTAATCACTAAATCACTGTGTAGTTTCCAGAGGTCTCACCTTTGACTCTTGACTTGTACAAAAGTGTTTTCCAGTATTCAGCTTGTTTATTTCCCATGCTTCCTGACACCTGTGAAAATGACCCTTTTTCCTGTTGTTGTTGTGTCTGCCCTGGACAAGAATGTCAAAAGCAAGAATTCCTTTTTTTCGCTTGATGCAAAAATACATCACAAGACAAACATACAATTGCATTGGAAGCAAAATGCAAAGTAGGACATCATTTGCTATTAAAAGATATCTTTGGGTAGATGATAAGTTTCCATTCAGACATCAACAAGGTCAACATTGGGTCCCCATGCAGTGCCTCAGGTATGAGGCTAATGTGGTGTGTTTGGACGTACTCAACCTCAAGTGTTCCTCTGATTCTCTGAGAACAGCATGTTGAGCCTTGTGACCAAACAAAAGGCCGGCGAAAACAACAGGAAGGAGTTGGTGAGAATGCCCTTTATCTGAGTCCCTGAACACGTCACGGCCTCTGAAGAAACAAAGCTATAGTAAAAAGAATACTAATTTATTAACAATACACTTTAACAACCTGCTTATTGTAATTACTAGAGGGCCTGATTGGAGATCTATGTTTATACTGACAATAAGGACATTGCTGATGTGATTTTTGATGCAATTGATTTAAGTAGTGCTATTTAGATGATGCTTGTTTTAGAGACATGTAATGTAGAAAAAAAATAAAAATAAAATAAACATCGATAACTGTGCACGTTCTTTAAAATAAATAAATCAATAAAATGCTAAAAACAGCAAATAACAAATAAATGGCTAAGAAATTGCTAAACTGAACTGACTTAATCGCATAGAAAATCTTAAATAGTGTTCTCATTTTGAACACAAGAGGGAGCCAGTGTCTCAAGAAATTATAGTGACTATTTTCTATATACTAATACTAATTTGCAGCGATGTAAAAAACAAAGTTTCTGTGAATTAATTTTCATTTGTAATTGGTGTGCAGTGGTAGTAGAAATTTATTTTTAATGTCATTAAGTAAGTATTTACTTGTTATTTGGTTACTAATGAATACTTAATCAAAGTAAACATGCCAGTGTATGCAGAGTTTTGTACATTTTGAACTTTTTCCACACAACTTTTTTGCTTCTTAGCAGGATCACAGGGCCATGGGAAAAGCATAGTCGCTGAGAGCATCCTAATCCCAGGGGTGTCTTCTGTTGAGACGTCCATTCTAATCTTACACTTATCCCCTCTCAAATCAAATCCTAGGGACCATGCACACTGATTTGTTTACTCATGATGACCACTTCTCATGTTGCAAGGTCACACGCTTTATGTTCTGCGTTCCATCTCACATAAATAGAATAAAACATGCTGAAGGATGTCTGTGGGCAGATGCCCTGGATGCGGGGCTCACAGTTTATTCAATGACACATGAGATATGAAGGTTTGTTTTAATTAGATTGTGGCATAGTCTGCTTATCTTTAAAGCAATACGACCAATTAAAACAACAGAGAGACTAATAGCAATAGTTAGCATTATAGGGAAACGTAATAATGATCATACCTTCAGACGATCAACCATGTGGAATAAAGAGAAGAAAAAGAATGTGCAATGTGACATTTTCATTATCACACTTTAATGCAATACTTTGTGTGTGTGTGTGTGTGTTTGTGCGTGTGTGTGTGCGTGTGTGTGTGTGTGTGTGTGCGCGTGTGTGTGTGTGTGCGTGTGCGTGCGCGCAGAAAACTGTTAACTATGCCAGCTTAGTCATTTCTGTCACTGTGATATTGCACAGTATAGTCTCGTGCTGTTGTTTCCACATGGTTCTCATACTCACTTGGCGCTTCATTTTCAAAAGTCTTAAATAAAAAGCAGCATGACAGGGCATCAAATGTCTGTGAAATATTAGACGGAAAGCCTTGGTTGAGATTTTCAGGCAGTCTCTATATCCCTATTGCAACCAAGTGCAGCCAACCCCAGCAAACTACTTGCCCTGCTGCCTGTGTGTACAGCTGGATTAACACCTTGGTGAAGACAGTCCTGTTGTTTGAGGAGTCGCAACCATGGAGTCATCCTTTAGCTCTATATCTTCCCTTAATGACATCATAGTAGGCTACACTCGCTGTGTGTCATCCTTGAGAGGCGTTATCCGTGACTCGCAGTTGACAAAAGTATACTGTCGATTAAAGTGCAGGGAAGTTTGTGCGCTGGAACACGATGTCCCTGCTGGCAATGACCATTTAACTGAGTGATCTTGTTCTTCATTCAGCAAGGGTGAGAGTCGTGCTTGTCAAAGACTTTCTCAAAACAAATAGGTCCCACTTTCCTCTTTCCCTTTTCCCGGAGAGTGTGGAGCACTGAGAAAGGCTGGCGCCGGGCGAGCTGAGAGCTACATGTGGGTGTGCATGCGTCTGGGCGGGCTTCGGCAGTTCACCCACTATGCGCTACTTTCGTTGACTGTGCTGATTGCACAGCTAGTCCCCCGTCTACTGCCGTGACTGCCTCCGTGCAGGCTACAGATGGTGTGAGGAATCGGGAATAGTCTGGTCGAATCAATTTGATTCCGTCCTCCGTGTCTACACTCCGTAACCAGGAGAAGGGTACTGTTCAGACGCAACGCGCACTCACGGATCGCGCCTGTGGCTGGTTGGATTGCTGGACGAATTAAATAAATCTGAGGCAAGTAAGTGTTTTGATGTATGCATTTTAATTAACACTTTATTGAGTGTCCCCTACAGGCTATTATAATGCCTAGCAATGACTAGATTGATGCTGTGGAGGGATTTTGGGGCACCTGTATAGTTTGTAGATCGTGTTGTTGACACTCTGCAGGTGTTAGGGATACAGTCAGAGGATTTTAGACTACTACTTGGGTCGATGGAGATTGTTGTAAGCTACAGCAAATGCTGTCAGAATCAGAAATGTATTCTGAACCTCAAAAGTTGTTTTGTACTTCAGTGACACAGTGGCAAAAATGCTTGTATGTTCATGTTAAAAAAAAAAAAATTAATAGCATTCAAATTATAAAAGCAAACTGTTTTAGTTTAAAGACCTAACTAATGATCCATGGATGTGAATGGTTTCAAGGCAATTTGAAAAAGTATGCTCATTAACAGCCAGTCTGGCTGTGAACAGAGAAGAGATTTCTGTGGTCCAGTTTTCACATTGTGGTTTCCAGCAGCAAATGAATGAGATGGCAGCCTCACATCCAGTCAGTGTCTTGTTGTGAGTTAATGAAAAAGCTGCAATGAAAGATGAGAAAGCTAATGTGGCACACATGGAGGTAGGAGAGTGGATAGACTGTGACCACTCTGTACCAGAAATGTCCCCAGTGCACAGGGTGCCCTGCTGGAAAGCCCAGGGATCAGGTTCCTCCTGTCAGCTGCTGCACCCAGCGGCCCAGGTTTAACTCACTCTGTGTATGTAAGTGGGATGACAAGTCTGGGCTTGGAACATAAGGCAACCTTTGAAAAGTCTATAATATGAAAACTTTAGATTTGACAGAAATGGTCGACTTTCTGTCTTCCCCTCACCTGTCTTTGGCACATAAAAGATAACTATGTGACCTTACTGTAATCTTGTGGAGGATATTTTATTACAAAGTTTCACTGCTCACATGAGGTTTCACATATGGTGATTCTACTTTTCTATCAGCAAAATGGTGACCAAAGTCCTTCCTCTTTCACATCCTCTCTTGCAATTAACCCAGTATGGGTTATGTTCTTTTCTTACCCTTCTCTTCTTTAGAGAAAACCAGTTCACTCTGTGTCCAGGCTTTCTCTATAATGATGGTTATATTTGTCTTTAACACATGTGGGTTACGGTAGCCGCACTGTAGGCATGGAGCCTAAGGTATACATAACAACACAAAAATGTGAAGTTACATGTGAAGTTAAAGTTCCCCCTATTCATGAGTTTTGACTTCCTGTTATATGTTGGCTCCATCTCTATATAGTTTGGAGATATAGTTTGGAGGTGTATCATAGTATGTAGAAAGCAGATGAACAACGCTAACTGTCATTTCTCTTTGATCTCTACACACATGAAGGGCTACTAACATCACTTGGCCAGGTGGATTCAATCAATCATTTTGTGAGAAAACCCCTTTCCACATGTCCACAAAGCAGCCAACAGCCACTCAGCAGGAAAAGCTTTTACATGTGTTTTAGTTTTTTATGTCTAGTGAGACTTCAGTTCTTCTCAAGTCCTCATAGAAACATTGCATCTAGAAGTGCTTAATGTTAGTGAAAAATCAGTATCTGAATTATTATTACATAGAATGCTGTTCTTTAGATGTGGAACAATGAAGAATCTGTCTTTATGTCAAGTTTGTCACTTCAACACTAAACCTACCTAACTCGTGTGATTATAAATACTAACATTAAATTGAACTGGGTGTGACTCATCTGTAATATCGACCTGGGATTGTACCCTCTGAAATTGTTTGTGAAGAGGGGGACTTTCAGGAGAGTTTTAGTTTTTGGCTAAATAAATGTTTTTATCTTTGCTGTCTGAAATGTTTTCTGTTTGTTTTTTGTTTGTTTGTTTTTTTATGGAAAAGATGCTTTCTGCTTTGCACTAAAAGTTGTGTGGATGCAAATGGAACAGCCCAGAGCTGCACAAGATGGATCTAATGAGTCTGAAAACTCAAACGCAACAAGTTAGCTATGTATAAGATTTTTTTAAATATTAATTGCAAGATAGGGATTCCAGAACCAAAAGTTGTTTGAAATAGTAATATAAATAATATATGTTTTTATTTCAGTTACTGAATGACCACTGTGTCTTTACTTTTAACTTTAATAAAAGTTAAGATATTTTTTTTTCCTTTGGCATTAGTTCCAAGCATAGTTTAGCAGAGGAAGTAATTTCCCAGAGTAGAGCTTCATTTCTCTGTGGAAGAGCCTCAGTGGCCCCAATCTCATTCCCTGCAAAAAGGGACATGTCAAACACTTCCTCAGGCTCTTTGTAAACTCACCACTCTCATATGGAAGGCAAATACTGTGGCAGCTCTGAAGCTCTACTGATGTTCAGACCAAACTTCATCCATTTAAACTATGATTACATGCTAAGTTTGAGCCTTGACCGTTACATTTCAGGCTTGCACATGTAGCTGTTTTAAATGATGGGAACAGCACTAGTGTTTTTTTTTTTTTTTTTTTTTTAATGCTGGCTTTGTTGTTAAATCTCTTTTGGCATTTTGGAGTCTGTGAAGTCAAGATAATGATGAACAAAATGGTCAGTTATTTTAGATTAGTTGCTCATATTCCAATTAGTTACCCTACCAGTAACAGTAAGTTAATAGTGCAGAAGTACTTGTTTTTGGTAGATTTGAACAAATATTAAGTTAAGTACACACTAAGTAACTATGGCTAGCTTTTGTAAAATGTGTACTTTGCACTAATGTCTTATATTGTTGTGTATGATTTGAATGTATTGATCATCTTCCAGCCTTGAGCTGTAATGAAATGACAAAAAATATTTTTCATAGTTAGAGATTTTGGTATGAATGCTGTGACTTTTGTTATATTTTTGGCTGTCATCAATGGTTTTGTGACAAAGCAGAAGTTTAACAGTGTCGTAGTATTAAAGGGGGCAAATGGTATTACATATTGGAATTAAGAGTTCTAAGTTAAAGCAGAACTCATGTGGCGGGGTGTCTGGCTTTGATTAGAAGTAGAGTTTTAGGGCACCACTCAATAAATGTTGAGAAATGTTACTAATTCAGTATAATCAGTTATCTAAGCTAATTAAATAACTAACCAATTGTTCTGAAGTTTGGAAATTGTTGTCCATATCAGTGACCCTGACCCATATCTGGCAATAACATCACTATTCACCAAAGCAAACTGGTTTATGAATATTTATTGACCAAGTTAAACAGACAGCATTTAGATATGAAATATTCAAATGAGTGGAGGTGACTCTAGATTGGGGCCTAAAGATTGGAGATCAGATAAAACTTTAAGAGTCATCTAAAGTTATGTGTTGAGTCTAAACTGAGATCAATTAAGCCAGTCTGTGAAGTGTGCGCATACAACCAGGAGAGGGGAGATGTCAGTCACAGCAAGGTCCAGAGTCCCAATGGTTTGGAGGTCTGAAGTCCTCAGGGCGTCAGGTCTGGAGAATCAAACAAGCTGAGATGGACAGAGGCCACATGATCTAAACAATAACTCAAGGCTCAGGCAGCGTCAGTCTGAAGGAACACTGTGTCTTCTGTTTACAAAGGAGCAGAAGACACCTGCCCAGTGTCCATGAGATTTGAACAGCACTGATCACAAATTATCACCAATTAAACCAAAAGGTTATTTACTACAAAAATGCAAATATTTAAATATGCTTCACTTTCGGTCAGATCAGCTAATTTGGATAAAAACATGGCAAAAGATGGGCATAGCTTTGGAAGGGGGAACTGGAAGTTTTAACTTCACAGGCATTGTCCCTCTGGACTGTTCTTTGTCCAGTAGGACAAAGGAGCTGCTCTGTATCTCCCTATTTCTCTGTCTTCTCTGAACTGATTCCTTGAAATGAGTGGGGTCTCCTCAATGATAACAGTCTATTTCCCATTGTAACCACTCGGGGGAAGGCTAAACCAGTGGGGTGAAGCCTTGGCTAAAGTTGAGTGGGGGATGAGGAGAGGTATGTGATTGGCTTACAAGCTAGTGACAGTTTTACACACATAAAAGATATTCACATGACATTTACAAATCAATATTCAAACAACATTGATAATATTCACAGCATGAACAGTTCACATCATTCCTCTTCTTTCTGTGGAGAAATTAATTTTACTGAGAGTGTTTGATCTTGTGTCTTTTATTTGTGTCTTGGTTATCGCTAGTTTATTGAAATTTACATCAGTCAGTTGGTTTCTTTTTAGGAGAAACTTTGTAGATCTCGTAGCTCTTCTGGAGAGTCTTTGTGTAAGAGAAGTTTTGATTGCATTGCTTGAACACAAGTCTCTATTCGTTTTATCTTATCAATCAGCTACAGGGTCCAGAGAAGCTGAAGGGAAGCGGGGGATGGGTGTGCATCCACAGTCATAGAGGGCATACCTAACCCAAACTACTTTGGTTTGGTGAAGATGTCCCTCCGATATCATGGCAACAATGAAGGGGGTGCTTCACACCAATACAACAGAGTTGGCATTAAACCACAAGCTGCTATCCAGTAGCAGATGTTAGTGCGCCAAATTAATTGACACATCAGTCTGCCACCTTTCATTTTTCATCAATGCTGTGCCATTTCCTGATCTGATGTGATTCAAGTTATAAAGAGGTGTATTACAGATACAGACAGTATTAGTTGGTTTTATATGTTTTCATTAATAGAAAATACATGAAGAATGGAGAATACAATTCGAAACGATGATACCAGACAAGGCAGTATCTAGTACTATATGTAAGTCTTCTGCTCTGTGCTTATTTTAGACGCGGAAGCTTGAAGAAATGAGATTTGGCTTACACACCTGCACATACAGGTGCTTTAGAGGCTGGTTGCTAATCTGCTGAAGATGCAGCATGATTCTAGCTAAAGTTGTTAAGACTTTGTTGTAGTGGCATCAAGAGGATACATTATTATTATTATTAATTATAATTATTATTGCCTTATTTGCATAATGAAACGTATATGAGATACTTGAATACTCCTAGTATTCAAAACATACTCCCATTAGTTCAACACTGTAGCTGTAACAATAAAGGTTTGAATTACCAGCTTTCAAGTTGGTAGATAAGGAGAATATACAATATCATCTGATCCAATATTTTCAAACCAGTGTACTAATCAGACAATATTCCTGTGTCAGACCAAATATCCCACACCAATATCTGTGTATCTCTATTGTTATTATTATCTCTGCACTGACAGTTGTCAAGGTGCTCCAACACTAATAAAATAGGCAATAAAAACACTAAAACCTGTGAAAGATTATGAAACATTACCGTTATTATTGTGTTTGTGTGATGAGGAATGCTGTAGGCTGCATCTGGCCCTCATCTGGACCTGTGAGCTGCGTGGACTCTGGAATCAGTACTCCGTACTCAGCAATAGCGATCTCATAACAGAGTAAAGTGAACTTTACTTAAATCTCTTGTGAAAGAAAGTTGTTGAATGTTGTTTGGTTCAACTGATGTGTGATGGAAAGTATATGATTGGCCTTTGGAAACTGATTTACAATAAATACATGTGGTTGAGAACCTGTTGCTGATATGGCTTACGGCATGGCCACTGAAAGAGTCAGGGAATCTTGCAGGGAAACTGTTAGGAGTCAGACATAATCTCTGTAACACTGTGCCCAATGAGCTGTTTCTACAGAGAAGAGGTCATCTTTTGCACCTATATAAGTGGACTGACAATAATGTTCTCCCTTTCTCACATCTTGGTTTAGTTCAGTCTCAGTTAAGTTTTCATTGTGATGCAGTTTGACTTAAATATAAAAGTATTTCTTCTCTTACAGATTAAAGTCCAGGCGTGATAATGGATGAACAGTGTGCGCCCCTCGGAGGCCCCCATCCCATTGCTGGACAGTCCAGCACAGACAGATTGACCCGGGCTAGTGTGGTCAGGTGTGGCTGGCTCAGGAAACAGGGGGGCTTTGTGAAAACCTGGCACAGCCGCTGGTTTGTATTGAGAGGGGACCAACTCTATTACTACAAAGATGAAGAGGAGACCAAAGCACTGGTAAGTTACTACTACTTGGGTGGACGTAGATATAAATGCATACATCCATCTCATGAAACTGATCTGAATGTTGTACATAAAACAAAAAAACAATAATCAGTGACAAAAATACATGTTTTATTTAAGCCTAGTGTAACTGAAAAAAAAAAGGTGACTAAAACACTGTGTAGGTACTCAGTTTTATACCCCTCATAATAAGATTTTTTATGGACTTGGCACAGACACAGTTTGATGTAGCATTGTTTTGTTGCAGGGCTAAAACTTAAAACTTTCCATTAAGTTATTACTTACTTATATTACTCTTATGTACATGTAACCAGACACTATGCTCAGAGAATGTCACCAGTCAGCCAACAGAAGAGATGTACTGGCTATCCCAAACAAAGAAACTGTCTCACAACACAAGGATAGATAATTATTTGTACAAGGATTTCTCAAGAGCTTCGTGCCTGTGTTCAGGGCTGCCCAGTTACATTGACAAATAACATCTGTATAAATTATGGTATATGGACATTACTAGAATACAGACAAAATAAACCCTGCCTCAGTCATGACTTTGTTTCTAAATATTACTAAATCTATTAGTGATGTTAAAGATCAGAGCAGAGTCACTGAACACAAAGGGTTAGTCTATCACAGGTCAAATGAACTAGAAAAGAAAGTTCCTATAGTATGTGGAGCAATGAAATGCACCTCAGCATGCAGCCATATTTAGTGGAGCTATTAATTACTGCTCTAACATGCTCTAACACACCATTTGTTACCTGTCACATATGCCTAGACTGCCTTCTCCATGGAAACAAGAACATCTGTTGCCCTGGTAACATAGAGAGCCAACAAAAATGGTACTTTGATTTTATGTCATTGAATTAGTTCAAACTATAAATGCTTTTTGGGACCACAATATTGTTGTATAATATGAAACTATATTGTTGTTTAAAACATCATATTGTTATGTTGTTACTGCCCCAGAGAGTGTATGGAGTAGTGTATGGAATCTTAGGAATGGCTGTCTGATAGAGGTGAAAGGTCATCCAAAAGTATGCACGTGTACAGCACGTGTGGGCTCGCATCAACATGCCATCTGTGTGTCTTAACTTGTCTATAGAGATGTTTGCTGGCACATACACATACACATACATCAACTCTGGCTACGCTAATAACAAAGCCAACATTCAGCAAGTTGGTAATTGTAGGGAAATTATTGTAATGTAAACCATTCTTTGAACTGTATCTTTATGAGAGAATATTTTCATTGACATCATATATCAAAAGATGTCTTTATGATGTATTATTTATCATGTTCTGTTTAATTTGTATTATGGTAAGTAGAGAGTTAGAGAGAGTTATGTGTTGAATATTAATAGCACAAAGGACTTATGATGAAACATTCACAAGATAAATGACATGAATAAGTGAAATTCATGGAATAAATAGAGTTTTATGTCCAGACTTTGACCTTGGAATTCATTCAGTGGAGTAAAAACAGTACACTGTCAGTAATTATTTAGGCATTATGACTTCAAGACTGCATACTATTCACTCCTCTGATGTACAGCATTTGTTTCTGAGGCGGATTAATGCAGTAGAGAAATAGTTTGTCATATTAAGATCACTTAAAACATACACATTTTAAACACTGTTTTTATATGGATGTGAGCACTTGCACTATTGGTAATCCAGCTTGGCAGTTTTGTAGTAATTATATACTCAGTCTGTATAAGTTAACATAGTAAAGTTAGTTATAGCTCTGCAGTCAGATCATTGAAACAAAAGCAGTTTTGACAGGAACTGCTTGTGTAATAAAAATCATTGATGGATGGAAATGTTCTTATCAAAACTAATGAGCAGCTGCAGCAAGGTCTTGTATGTCGCTCAAGCATTCTGTTGTTCTGTTCTGTTGCAAGACAAATGTCTTTGAATGGTATGTGGAGATGCATCTCCGAAAAGTGAGAATAGTCTACCTTTGGGGCACAAACTTTATAATGGCAGAAAAAGGGGACAGTATGTTCATTTGTGCAGTTACTATAGCTGTGGAAATACTATTGATTTCAACATTGTTAAGTGACATAAGTAATTTGTTAGATGAATCATAGTTAACATATTTTTTTAAAACATCAACAACAAAAATCAACTAATATTGTAATTGAGACTGGACTATCCACAGACTTTAAAACTTACCAGACTCTAAAAATGTCACTGATTAAGAATAACAACTTTTAGAAGAATTTATTTAGTGGTGACTTTTTTTTTCCTTCTCTGTAAATGTGCGTTTATAAGAGCTTACAATGTAGGTACAGTGTACAAATTCCTAAAAAATCTCATCTTTGCATGCCTTTTACTGGTGTTTAATCATTTAATCCACAAATGTATCAATACTATCAATACAATCCTGGCACACTAAATTCTTTCTATGGTTTGAATCATGAGCTCAGAGAGTGATTTCTTTTCTTTATGTTCAAGAATAAGTTGTGTCATTGTGCCATATACCAAAGATGATCTCATACTCCTTTAAAATAAAACTCAGAAAACACCCCAAAATACTCTCTCTCCTCCAGAGTCTGGTGTGCTGATGTGTGGCTAAATATAAATGTGGTTTGGTTTGTCTGCAGAAAACAGTGAGCCGCCGGGAATAGTGTCACTGTGGAAAGAACATTCACACTACTGTGGTTTTACAACATAGAGGAGTTACTTATTTCCAAGCCTTGTTTATGTCCTATACATGGCCAACTGCTGTGTCTTTGATCCCTTTTTTAAAGGGGTCATGGTGGACATGTGTCTTCTGACCTCCTGTCTGGCCGGCCTGTGTCTTATTAAGCAGAGGCTCACTTGGAGGGATAGGGCAACTCCCTCTGATTCTGCTAATGTGCTGCTCCCTAATACTTCCTCAATCACCACTGCGCACACTGTTTTCATTAACAACACAAGTCCTCATTGGAGTCTGGCCCTGCACTTGTAGTCTAGGGCAGTGGTTCCCTACCTTTCTTCCTCGAAGCCCCACTTGCATGAATCGGAGACTTGCTGGGCTGGGACCCATTATAAATATAATGTTTATCCTCCCATACGCATTTTCCAATATGTTGGGGGATTGTTGCACAGATAATGGCTTTGATGACATGAGTGAACAGAGTACTGTTAGCTTTTTTAACTTACATACTACTAATAAAATAAAACTAAAATTTCAAGCCCAATTTTGATAGTAAGCTGTTTGCTACTTGGTACTAGTTAAGATACCACATTGAAATCAAAAGTGTTTATTTATTTATTTATTTTTAGACAATATTATGTAATGTTTAACACAAAACTATACTTGTTTATCATGTTATTTCTTCTGTTTCTCTTTTTTTTCCAGGGAACTATTTTCTTGCCTGGAAACAAGGTAACAGAGCATCCTAACAGCGGAGACGACGGAGGAAAATTTCTGTTTGAGGTCATTCCAGGTAAGTTAAGCACTTACAAATATGTGTAATGGAATCTGTATTTGCAAATGTTCTGTTTAGCAGTACATTAATAAGCTTTGGTTAAAACAAGTGAATTTCAAGTACAGTATAGAAAAGGACTTACTATTACTACTACAATTGTATGTAAGGTAACAAGAATTTATATGTAATGAGCATGTTCATCATGTACATTACAATACAGTGAAATATTTGTGAAATGTGCTATAGTCAGTAATGATTCATAATAGTAATCTACAGCAGTGTCACAAGTGTTTTGAGCATCACTTTTCAGTTTTTAATTTGTACAAGCTCATTGTGACACATGACTTGCTCTACAAATGTGTGCAAACACACATGGGATAAAATTAAATTAAAAAATAAAATTCTACCACAGCATAAAAAAAATCACCTTATCAGATTGTCTGGAAGGTATGACACTGGACTGAACTCTGTTAATCTGATCTTTTTGGAAAAAAACCCCAACATGTTTTAGTGTAATGTCCAGCGCCCACATGACTTGGCCCAAATACACTATACTTTATTCAGAAGTTGTGTGGGTGTTACTTACATTTGGTTATGTTCAACTGCCGTAACTGCTCACAAACCTGTTGGTTTTAATGTCAATATGAAAATGACTACCTTTAAAAAAAATATAAAAATCCTTATACCCATACACTCATGCTTTTAGACTGGTGAAAAACAAGAAAATACTACAAATAAAGAAGCCTTAGAGAAGCAGAGAGAGTGGACGAAAAAGGGGAAAAGCCAGCACATATGTTCCATTGCTCTAAATGAGGCCCAAACACTGTGACAGTCACTGGCACAAACACAGACAGGAAGCTGCACTGAAAAATCCTTCCACTGTCTTGTACATGTTCTCAGAGCTGATGAGTATATGTGGGTGAGTAACTCTTTAGAGGGAAGAGCTCAGGGTTCAAACTAGGGCATCTAAAGATGGCTACATTCATAAAGTCTGCTGAAATCAAAGAATAATATGAAAATTATAAAAATCCCAAGCTCTTAAAATCTATAGAAAGCCTTACAAATCAAAGTGAACTTGTGGTTAAATTCACAAATGAACTTTAAATAAACAATTTATGTAGGTGTAATTCAGATAGAAATGGTTGTAGTTATGACAATTAGGTAAAAATACAGCCATTTGCCTAGCTTCATTGTTCTTCTATTTCCATTAAAGTTATTGACTTAATATACCTGTATATTTACCAATATATGAAAATATCCACCAGATTTAACAGACATGTTTGTCATACAGTAGTTGAGTCGTAGTTGCTGCAGTAAATTCAGCTCAAGGGGTCCTTTTAGTAGGTCCAGGCATAGATAAATAAACAGTGCATATATAGGGAGGCAGATATCTTGTTGCAGCCCTCCAAAAAATCCAAACTAAATTTAAAATTTTTTACTTTTTTGCATATTCTTTTGTGAATACTGTCTGCACATGACTGGAAAGGAGTAGTGGTTTAGACTAGAATGATGCTTTTTTTTTCCCCCAAGTGAAACAAAAAACTAAGGTTGGACCATTGTTATGATTACTAGACCTTTTAGTTAAACCTTTTTCAAACTTGTCCCTGATGTTAAACTCCCTTTATTAATGGGCATATAAAAATGCAACGCTAAACACTGGCCTACTTTATTGAAGATTCCACCGAAAATGTATTCTAAACTGTTTATTGCGAGCAGAACTTCCTTTCTTTCATGTTGTAGCTGATGTTTTTGAATCCTCTGGAATGACAGCTGATGGGACTGGAGAAGAGCACTTTGGGGAAGACGTTGTCATATGGAATGAATAGCACGGTATTCTTTGTGCAGCGTGTTCTTATCTATAAATATTATTGTGAATGTTGCATCCGTGGTCTAATTAGTTCTTCCTTATAATACAAAAACAAGCACAGGAACTAATCAGAGAAGGAGGCTGAGATTCTATTTTTTGTTTTTTCCCAATTTTCTGTAAACATTAGAATTACTCCCAGGTTCACAGTTTTATCAGAATATTCCCCCCTAATTTCCTGGGTCACTATCATTTTGGGTTGTTTTGGGTTAGGTTTTGGGTTGGGTTTTGGGTTGTTTTCTTGCTGGTAGTAAATCTAGAAATATTACTGCGTTCACACATTATGTGGGTAACTGGTAGGTTTTGCAACAGACCAGTCTTCTTATGGTTAATGCTAAAAAGTAATCCAGTCGTGGTATATGGTGATCCCTTACTGACCCCTTGTGGCGTGAGTTGATATTGGAAACTATTTTTCTATAGCATAATTTCTGTTGTGAAACACATCTTACTAATACATGCATTAAAAATAGCAGACTGTATGTACAATCAAATCATTAGGCCTTGTCTTGTATAAATAGCTTACCAACCAACCATCAATCCCAATATATGTGAATATTCTTATTATTTTAAAGATTACACATTTTATCGATGCATACATTTAAGATACTGTGAAGAATCTCAGAAATTACGTGGTAAGCACTACCCCCTTATGGAGTATTGAAGCAATTACAATTAACAACATCTGAGTGTATTAACCTATGTATTTTTATTGTCAGCTGACTAATAAAGTTCACAAGTTGGCGTGACATGTTTATTTGACCTCTGTTGTGATCCCTAAAATGGATTTAGCATCTCGTCCTATATAAATGTTACAAGAGCAATGCTAATCAAATCAGAATCAGACTGACAAGGGAATCACTCTCTTACGCTGAAAATTCTAGCTTCTCTAACCATGTTATAACAGCATTCTCTCACTAACTTTATCAAAGCTACAATATTTTTGATTAATTCATGCATCCTGTATTGTCCTGCTTTTGAGTCTTCAATCCTCAGAAAATGTCTATTTTCACCTACTCCCTATCTCCACTCACATATCTGTACTTACAGACATGTGTATAATCTTACAATTATACATGAATGACCTGCACTAAGCCGCTATGTAAAGACAGGACCTTTCAGTTATGCAAGTTTGAACAGGAGGTCACTGGGCCCATTTCTAATATTAAGCCATTTTAGATCCATATTGTAATTTAACAGTAACAGTAAATACTTGGATTAAAAGCATATTTTTTAATGTGAGGGCTATTGATTGTAGAATATATATTGCATTAGACATAGGTAAATTTTTGAAGCCGAGGACTGACATTTTAAAGTCAAACGTGCTTAGATATGTACTGAGAAGTCAGATGCAGGTATAAGATGGAATGTCAACCCTGTGGATCCTTATGTGATGACTGAATGATGGATGGGTCAGTTAAATGAAACTAGTGTTTGAGAGGGGTATTTGGGGCCGGCTAATTAGTGCACTTGTACTTGAGTGCCATATGCTCAGTTCCAATATGGTCCCAGGACATGAGTATTTATCATCAAGAGAGCCCCCCTGAAGTAATTGAGGGAGTATATTAATCTGGCTCGCTGACATGACTGTGTCACGATGTATGGAGGGGGTTTTCAGAGGGTCCACGTGTGCCATCACTCATACTGCTGTGTGCACTGTGAGCATATCAGCACTTGATTAAACCTGTAGCATCAGTGACAAGTGAAATTTGGATATAGGGTGGTACAGTAAACAAACTGTAAACTGTGCAGGTTGTACAGTATCAAGCTCATGCTGTATTAGCTTCAAGGTTTAAAGAAGCTATATTCTAATGTTTAAGGTTCATAATATTCAGGTCCTCAAATGAAATCAGAACATTTAGATTGTATTTATTACTTGAAGAATAGTTACACAATAAATTGTATGGACTATTCTTTGACAGATTATTTGGATTTAAATCTCTTGCTGCTGTTGTTGCTATTTGTCTTCCTTACACTCAGTACATTAATTTATTTTCATATTATCTCATAAAATGTATTTGGCTTCTCTGGACCCCTTTAAGTTAATGTGTTTAGTCAGTTCTAAGACAATAAATTTATGTTTTACAGATTCCCTGTTTTGATTTATTGATTTAATTAGCTGTGAGAAGTATATAAGTATACCATAGAGCTACCATAAATGTGCAATGTGTAACTGCATGTTTCAAGTCATAGGTTTATGAGATTGGTTTGCCCCTAAAAGGCTGTGTTAAAACAGCAAATTAATTGTAAACCTGTATTGTTCCCTTTATGGAAAAAATATATATATATATCATCAGTGTGCAAATTGTGCCATCAAGTTAGAGAAGTAGCTTTTTGTATTGTAAATATAAATATATAATGTGTAAACTAAATACATGGTCACATTCAGTAAGTTCCATTGTTTTCTCTCATGAAATGTCCGGTGAGGAGGATGTTTGTGTTTGAGGTTTGCTGTTCTTTGCTCTCTCCAGTGAATATTTGACTTTGAAACCAAAACAGGAATGTTTTTCTTTGTGCTTCACTCTGCAGTTTGAGCAGACTTCTTCTCACTCATTTATGACATAATGAAAGATGAACTTAAAGCAAAATTATTAGAGAATTATTTTCAGAGATAGTTCTGTACTTGTGTGGTTCTGAAGCAAATGTTTAGATGACATTCAAATTCAATTATTCAATTTACTTTCTAATAAATTTTCTGAACTGCAATAATTCAGTTGTAACTTTCTTGTATGCTAAGAAAGCAAGAGCCTTTAGATACTATTCAGTCAGACAAAGTTTACATTCCAGTTATCACTATTTGAGAGGGCCATTGAGTTTGTATGAGATGGGAATGCTTCTGCTTGTGTGGGAGTTCTTTAAACTGGAAAATCAGTTTTGCTTTGTCTGACTACTGGCAGGTATCTTCTAGTGTCTGAGATGATGCTCAAAAACTGAAATAAATCTGAATATAAAATATGTGCTATGTGTTTAATTCAGTAAAATAAGTTATTGGCTGAATCACAATTTGTTGACCAGACAGTTGCTATAGCAGCAAACAGGGAGGTTGAGCTGGAGTGTACTTTTAGCAGTTGCAGATTTGAAGTCACAAGGCAGACGTTTTTTATTTAATGGTGTGTGTTTGATTATCTAAAGCTGTCACAGAAGGACAATTTGATGA